TACTACACACGTAACAGGCGAGTATGCGGAGTATGCAGCTTGGAGGCTATCAGATTGGCTTGTGTGCGTAATCACTGGAAGTTACAAACGAGATCGCTTCAATCGTAATCATTAAACTTAACATTCAAAGGTTGTTATTATCTAAAACTAGCTGACCCGGCGAACTTTGTTCCGCCTTAATGGCAATAAATAAGCAGACTTTTTTTTTATTTCGAACTGGATAAAAAGTATCCTATGTCCTTCTCCTGGCTCTAAACTACCTCCCTGACAATTTTCAGCTAAATCGGTTCAGCTGTTCTTGAGTTATAAGTGGAGTAACTAACACGACTTTCTTTTATATATATAGATTTATACTGCTTAGCTAAGAACGCATTCCGTATGTGCGAAGGTGTAGCTTTGAATACAAATGGCGCGAGTGGAATTTGATTCAAATATTTATTCCGATGGGTTAAAACCTAAAATTATCTCTTCGAGTGAATACTTTCAGAAAATAAAATAAAATAAAAACAATAAGTCTTCAGTAATTTATTGCCGTGAAAAATTAAATAACAGACGATAAATAACAGTTTCAACGTAGACGGAGACACTCGAAGCAAGTTTAAAGCCATCAAAAGTGTCGACGAACTTTCTTAGGTTATTGAAATTTACTTTTTAAAACAATGTTAAAGTGCATGATGCCTTCCGTATTTACGTTGCAAGCGAACGTCTAGTGGGCAAAGTTTTTACGATGGCACGTCCGGGGGAATATTGTTGGTGCATTAACGTTGAATACCCGCCAGTGGCACGGGTGAAAATTTAAAATTGACCGGCTACAGTTGCACGATTAGTCTGGATTTTGGAGCGAACTCATTTCCTTCTGCCCTCGGTCGAGCACCGCACTGGCCGAGATGGACTGATTGATTATTAATTCTCATTACCAGACCATAATTGCCGTGGAGTTTATGAGTGTTAAAAATACTTTTCACGATCAAACTTTACTACCTCTAAAGGAGAGTGTTAACGGAGTAGATAGCAATTAAAAAGCTGTTTGTAGATATCCAAAGGCAGACGTTTTACCGCACCGTTTCAAGATGGTATGAATTACTTTAAAAGAATAGTAATAAAAATAAATATTTACTCACCGGACGTTTATTATGATTGCCTGTCTCACCAGTTAAGGTTACCTAAGCTATAAATTTTGTGCAAAGTATATTTTAGTATAAATTTTCCAGTTACTATACGACATAGTACATCTTAATAGGAGAAATTGGCTGCTGTTTCGGTTTAGAGTTTGGAAAAAATACCTGGAATTCTGTGACACTGGTCGCCATATTTGGAGCTGTGTTTGTGAGTGCATAGCATGCCGGAGCGTATCAATTTCCGGGGCCTCTGAAGTGGGGCATTTGATGTATGTGATGTATGTTCGCGTCGACTTTTTTATCAGGGTAGTCTTTTTTAAGACCATCGCAACTCATCCATACTAAATCTATTGTTTGTTGTTGTGAGGAAATAGAACAGTGAGACAAAGTTACTATTACGCTGAACGAGTACTCTATGTTATTTGAGATAAGGACCCATTTCCAATTAAACATTATACTAACACGACGTTACACTGTGGAAAATGTGTGAGATTACACATACGGGACTTTCTGAAGGAAATGTTTCAGCAGTCTAACTAGAATCTACCAGTGACATACACTGAAAAAAATGTTTGGTTACTGCTTACACAACAAAAGTGACTACCAAACACTTTGGTTATGAGGAACAAAATGTTGTGTAAATTGAAGAAATAATTCTGTAGCAAGCTAGACTTGGCTCAGTTATAGTTAACACTTAGTTCGCCAGTCACTTTTTTGTGTAAGCTGTAACCAAACATTTTTTTCAGTGTACCTACGTAAATTGGTGTACTAAAGTAGTCACCATAGGAAACAAACATACAGCATAATAATAGAAAGTAAGGACTAGAAAGGTGATATCAAATATCATAGGTTGACTACGTCAGACAAAATGCCATAAAGAAATGAGACGAGGAACACTAAGATAAATATAAATTCAAATTTATTATCCAAAGGTTACCGGCCATCATAAAATATTTCGGTACAGTTTGAATGCTCACAGAAAGGAAATAAGGGATAGGAATATTGCAATGCTTGAATCATAATTCAGAGGGAATCCCAGTAGTTTATTATATTATTAGTTATCGGATTCCTTTCACGTTTCTGCAAAGGAATTTTTCACTTCAGCTTAATAAAGAAATAGAGGATTTGTTTTGAAGTAAGTGAGGTTATGCTTGAAAGGAAAGTGGCTTAGAAACCAAGCTGTATCAAAGTGTTCTTAAACATATTCTACAAAGTTAGTCCATCGATCAATTCAATGTGTTCCGCACGCGCGACGGGTTCCTCTCATGGGACTTTATCATTACGTATTTGAAGATCTTAGAATAAATCTGTATTCAAACTTTTTGTCGGAGAATAGTATCTATTCGGAGTAGCTTCTTGGATGAATTAACACGATGGTTCAATAGAAAAATCTTTTCAGAACATTTTGAGCCATTACTTTTGGTAATTTTCTTGGAGTAAAATACTGTAATTGAGCTATCAGTAAAAAAATGATAATTATTATAGTAGGTACGTAGTTTTTATAGTTTAGTTAGACGATAAGTAGCACGTCAAGCTAAGCACTGAAAATATTTAATGCAGTTTTGATTGTTTCTATTTAACAATAAAAATCTTTTACATTGTTACTAGTAGTCGATAATATTTTTTGTTATTTTTTACGTACATAAACTTTATTAATTATAAAAATAAAAAGAATCATGATAGTAAATGTACTACACAAACTAAGCAATTTCGTACCTATCATACTTATTATTTTGGTGCTACAAAAGTACAAAAGAAGTTATCCAATCCACTAAAACGAGCACACACTAAACAACGGCAAAGTGCCATAACAACATAGTAGGATGACTGGTCGCAAAAGATACATAAGTTTCAAGTACAACACAAAAGTGCTTGCGACCTTAATATTGTTAGGAAACAGTACCCTCTCAGGTGTTTCCAGCGTTCCATTCAGTGATTAATGTTTGCACCGTGACATGGCGAATGCACCAAAACCATAAGTTTTCCTGTTATAATAACTAGAGCCAGGTGTACAGTCGGGTGGAAAAATGTTAATTAATTATTATATTTTATTCACTACTAGCTGACCCGGCGAACTTTGTTCCGCCTTAATGGCAATAAATAAGCAGACTTTTTTTTAATTTCGAACGGGATAAAAAGTATCCTATGTCCTTCTCCTGGCTCTAAACTACCTCCCTGACAATTTTCAGCTAAATCGGTTCAGCCGTTCTTGAGTTATAAGTGGAGTAACTAACACGACTTTCTTTTATATATATATATATATATAGATAAGGGCTTAGATAGCTCCTAATCCTCTGTAATCGACATGACTGTAGTCTACTTTTACAAAGTACCAATATAAAATTCTGTTTCCTTGGTGCGATTATAATCACTAGACATCTTTTAACCCTTAAACAGGCCCCGATAACCCGTTAGCGTTATATATGGATTAAGGCTTAAAATAACGCCCTTTCCGATTCCTTATCAACAAATTACTGAAAAAACCACTGAAATAGCTGAAAAAATGACGTGGGAAAACATAATCCCATTGCCGGGGTAGAAACAAGTCTTATCTGTATATCTATTATATGGTGAAGGCTAGTCTGTTCATAATTTATTTATTTTATGTACTTATTTTATTTATTTACTTTAATGTTAAAACACACGAACAAAGTAGAGTGCTAAGCTAGTATACAAAAAATAAGGTAATTAGAACAGGCAAAGGAAATATAGTTCCCACAAATAGTTCAACTCAACAGATTTGGTCATTTATGTTCCCCACATGTTATTTTACCTTATTTTTTATAAAATTTTGCAGGAAAACAACAAAAAAATACATTAAAATTTTGATACTATAACTCAAAATCTATAAATATAAAAAATTGCACGACTTACCTTTCTTGGTTTCGCCATAATCGGAAAAAGTATTGCACAGTTACTGAAAAACACCTCTCCAACGGTAGTCAAAAATTCAACTGGCTGTCAATGACACATACGTTCGGAAACACCAAGTTTTAGTATTTGGAACCATAGAGTATATATTTAAGATTAGATTTTGACACATTGTGGGCTTTGATTCACCAAAACCTGGCTACGACGTTAAAAAAACTATGTAGGAAGTATACGTCCGCTGCTTAAGGGCTAATTAGTGTCTTGTACAAAACTGGTATTGTATAATTGACAATATAACACTGATTTGTCAGAATGCTATTTTTAATAAAATGTAATCCAAAAATAATTGAAACTATATTAATGATTCTTATGGTATTTTAAAGCTATGGCTTTTAATTTTGATAAATACTTTTGAGCCTGACTGTACACCAAGGAATAGCTATCGCCAATCTTTTAATAGTGTTATGAACCCATTAAAAGGAGGCGTTTCAAGCATTAAACATGATAATCTAATGAAATCTAATTTTAGTTTTATACTGCGGGTGGTTTATAAATATCGAACTTAAATTTTAAATAAAGGCTATATTATTAATTAATAAAAATTCTAAAATTGTTATTTCTTCACAATAATTATAATAAACTAAAAAAATCGTAAATTGATAAATGTGTAAAGTGAATTTGGAATATCTCATCAATTTGGAAAACGTCAAAACTTTCCCACGTAAAACTATTTTACTCGTACAAATATAACGTATAAAGCCAATTTCGTTCGTATTGTGTTGATTAATTGAAGTGTCAAACTCCAACTGGTTAACTGTTGAATAATTTTCGCAACAATATCACCCGTAAATTGAGAATGGGATCCAACAAAAATTTTACGTCAACTACCAAAACTTAGTTTCAACAAATTCATGTCAATTTCCATGCAAATGAAACAATTATTCAATCGAATTTAAGCCTAGTAAGCCTAGTTACTAATAATGTAATGGCATAAACTCAATTACTTCTTACCTCGTCTTCATCATGAACACAATCCCTCTCATCGTGTGTGTACCGCAGCCGTGACAGCATTTCACGCAAACTGAACACCATTTTCACTGATCACTCGTCGCACTAAGTAAATCACAAGAAGAAATAAGAAAGCTAAAAGGTTTTAGAAGAGCAAAATTAATTTAGCATTAAGCACATGATAGTTGAGAGCAAAGTGAACGGATGACGTTTGACCGAAAGTAAATAAATAAAGCGAGATACCCCCAAAAAACAAAAGACGAATGTGTTTTGGCGGCAGTTATGCGTCACAGATATTTGGTTGGATTTTGTTTTTTAAACATGTCAAAAACGGTGTGTTGACAAAATAGTTTATTTTTAATTTGATTATTTTTTATACGTTGCCAGCATTTTTGTATGTTGGATTGGAATTGAGGTTTTAAAATAAAAATAAGCAATTAAGAATAGGTTGTAGGAAATCTGTGAGTGGTACGATCGACTAATAAGGCCCGGTTTTTTGATTCTTAGTTAAAATAACCAATGGTCAAATTTGACAAATGTCAAATGACAAGTGGTTAAATATCAGAAAAAAATGTTTTTCGAGCAATGGTTAGCGTGACTTTTAGTACATTTTTTAACTATTAGTTTACATTTTGTTAATATTTAACCATTAGTAGCAAAATTTAACAATTAGTTATTTTAACTAAGAATCAAAAAACTGGGCCTAAGAAATTAATATTTACAACTTACCATTATAATAAAATTGTTGAATTGAAATATTTTAAATTGGTGAACCATTATTAGATTAAGATAATATTTTAACATAAAACATTTTCGCTTTACTTATAGATTAGAGTACCGGACAAATAAAACTTATATGCAAAAGCTCTGCTTAGTGATTAGATTTTAGTGCAAACCAAAAACATTATTTTGATAGATAGATTAATCGTTTATTTGTAGACCTACTTACTTACAATTATAAGAATATTTAGCGGTAATCTGAAAATAACTACTAATAGACTAAACCAAGTTAAAAATGTAGATGCCAAATTATGAGATTTAATTTGTAGGTAGTGAAAAATTTATCCATAAATTAATTCCAAGCTGTTCCAATGCGTTCATACGTAAACATTGATATAAACGTTCAAAATTTCAATGTTTAATTCTGACACGTATCACACGTAGGCCGTCTCCACACGGCGCGACAAGCGTGTGCACTCGCGTATAATAGCGTATCCACGCCCGCGGGCCACTGAAGCGGAGGTGTCAAACGACAAATTTCACTGCGCGGCACTCAGATCTCCGCTACGAGTACGTGCCAGTGACGCTGCGCCCCTTACCGGTACACGGTTTATTTTTATTTCGTAGCGAGAAGTCTTGTTTAGGATTTTGTGGAAAATGTTAGGATAGTTGGAACGATTTGTGTATTTGTGTGATTTTATTTAATTTATGATGAAGTAAAAATGATCACTTACTAGACAATTAATTTAGGAATCTAGGTAAATGTGAAACATCGGAAAAAATATTTGTTGCTTGAATTTAAAATTGCAACAAGGTTATTTAATTTTAAACGGTGAATGTCTAAGTTGAATCGTTTAGCTCTGTTTTCTTTAGTCAAATAATAAAACAATGTAAGTTATTTTTTTAAATTGCAACTAAACACATCTACAATTCCGTTCTGTAGACAAATCGTTACATCAACACCTTTAGCAAGTACTCGAAATGGTTGTCAATTATCGGCTGTCCTGTAACATTGTTCCGGTGGAACGGTGAGATTAGATTCCGATTGCAGACGCATCTGTCCGCTAATGAACGTAGGCACGTGCATCCTCCGCTTGGAAAGCGTCTGACACCTACGTGATCATTCGAGTCGCTCCGTTTATGGGCGGCTTTACTTGCAATTGCGTTTACACTAAATGAAAATAGTTTTTATTGACTTTTTTTTCAATACAGACCAACAGCCGTTCACAGCATTGTTGTGTTCCGGCAGTTGAAGGTAAGATAGACAGTTCCTCTGCAGTTGAGGATTCTGGGAAGCTCGCTTCCACCTTCAGCCTGATCATCACTTTCCATCAGGTGAGATGCAGGCCAAGAAAGAAAAAAACAGACCTTCTTAGTGGAGATTAGTTTGATACAGAGCACTATAATAGTCATTACATAGCCAACACTCATGCTCTTAACTAAAAGAATCCCATTTGCCAAACTACTTGATAACAAAACCGTATATTTAGGCCCGATCACTCCCCAAATGTAGTACGCCGATAAATTTTACGGTTACTGCTCTCTATACTAGAGATGAAACGGATAGTTGTTTGGCCGGATACCGGATACCGGATATCCGGCCAGCTGCTAGGCCGGATAGCCGGATATCCGGCGGCCGGATAGTTGGTCCATTGTCTCGTTGCATGTCGTGACGAGTATAGGGCCGCACAGGTGCTTCGAACGCGATCAGTGGGTCTATTAGTAGAATAGACTAGTCACACTTTTGGAAAATCGAATCCGTCCGATTAGAATGTCAGATTTTGCCACTTGTCTAGGGGGCAGATCAATTCAATTTCGGCTGCAATCGTGAATGAAAATGAAAATGAAAAAGTGTGTGATTGAATAGCGAAAATTCAACTATACTGGTCATCACAAAAATCGGCCCACCTACGTTTATTACGTTTTACAGGAAAACTCGTTTCTACTGACACAGTCATGGTGCCCCAACAATATTGGTGTTAATTGAAAGCCCAATAAATATCCTTAAAGAAAAACACATTTAATTTCTTAATAAACGATTAACATAAACGCGATATACAATAAATGTGACTTGAAAAAAGACCTCACTTTGGGCTCACCTCTGGGATCAATTAGACCAATTTTTATGGTTATAAAACCAAATAATGATCTCACGTGTCCTCTTTAACATATGGATAGCGATTAATCCCAACTTAACAGTTTTATAGCCATAAAAGTCGGCTCAAGCGTAACTACCTATTTTTTGAAGAAGTGACTCTGGATTCTTCTACAGACACATTTTTGGGGTAAAACCCTTTCCTTTAATGAAATGAAGTTTAGAACTAGGCTTTAATATTGGTGGGAAGTGGGGATGCATACGTTTGAAAGTGCTTGTCGCGGGAGGGTCGATCTTTGTGATGGCCAGTGTAGTTGCATTGTGTCATCAGACCATCAGTGAAAAAAAAATCGCCTATTTAATTTGGCAATATTTCGACATTAACAGATATTTACTATTTATCTATGTATTCGTCATTAGAGTGAATAGCCCAGAAAAATAAATTAGTTTTGAAAGGCCTTAATATGGCTTTTTTGTAACTTTTTGGACTTTAAATAAAAGTCTTCATTATTGTAAGCCATTTTATTGATATTTACCTCAAAGATTAATGTATTTCATTTTATTAATAGGAAATTGTCGTTTTTTTTTAATATCCGGTATCCGGCCGGATAGTGAGTTACTATCCGGTATCCGGCCGGATAGTAAATTAGGGCCGGATATCCGGCCTACCGGATAGTTGCCGGATATCCGTTTCATCTCTACTCTATACTGTTCCAGAGGTATTAAAGAAAGAATACTATAAAATCGAAAACTCTAATCGTAAATTTTGTTGAACATAGGACATCTCTGGAGATGTTTGCGAGAGATTATTACTAAGAATATGTAGGTCAAGTTTGTAATACAATTACTTTTTATAGGCATCCTTTGCTACTTGCAAGAAGGAAAGACCATTAAAAAAGTTAACCATTTCAATGAGAGTACAAAGAATTAACAACAATTTTTCTTGCTCGATTTTATATGAACGTCACGTCCCGTTTATATCAGTTGTGTACTAGAAGCTTAAGGGTTTGAAGTCCAATTTCGTATGTTTACATTATCTGGTTAGGGCTAACCTTTAGTATGAACTCATGCCATTTTGATACACATCTTGTCACGCGTTCATGCCGGGACGCGAATAGAATAAATTGTCATAGATTTGCTACAGCGATGACATCATCTTGACACTAAAAACGAGTATTTTGTATAAAGTAAAAATATCTTGATACAAAGGAAATTCCTTAATATAAAGGCTTAAATACCTATCTGCACTAAATGCATATTTTAATAATTAGAAAATAGATAATATCTCATGTAAAAGTCATTGTCATTAACAACCACGTAAATTAATAGATCTACTGATATACTAAAGATTGATGTTAAAGTTAAATCTTAAGATCATTGAGATTCAGCCGCCAGTAGTCTAGTCATAGTGCATTAGATTCCTATCGTGAATTAATAGCAAAATACCTAGAATGACCCGGATTATAATATCTAAGGACATGAAATTGCCTGAAGGCTAGTTTCACTCCCTAGAAATACGCATTAAGTTCTGCGTAGCGCCTAAGCTCTAATTAGAACTAAGTGCACATTAAGTAACTAAAGAAGCTGTTTAGAGTACATTGTGTCACATAAGAACGTGAACTATTTAGCTATAAATAACTGAACATTTTGTTATAAATCAAATCATGCGCACGTTAGGTTTTATCGGTACGACATGAGTGTTACTGTGTTAGTTTCTAGACTACATCTTTCGTGCACCACGTGACACATCTGTACCTCTAGCATGAACAACTTTTATCTTCGAATCGTTTGCGTATTCGACGAAATTCGATACTCAACCTTCGAATTAAACGATAACGTGACAATTTTGATTCTCAAAATAAGTTTCGTGCAACCATTTCTCATACTATGTTCACTTTACGACACGTTCACAAGGGCGCTGTTGTAGTTTTCGTACCAAATCTTTTAATGGCGATTCAAATACGCAAACGATTCGAATTCGAAAGTTTTTCGTGCTAGCCGTACTGTTCCTTTTGATTAACTCACAATACACTGAATGCGGCTGTGATAGCATTATCTCTAGTGGTAGCTGTTTTCTTATTAGAGATAAAAACATAGGCATCCTATGCACAGCCTATTAAGGTGACGCATCAGCAATATCATTAGGCAAAGTTGGTTAGCAGCCAAGCAAACCGACTTAACTATTCATGGGCTGATGAATAAGTGATAGCTGCGGGGATGCGATCGAATCAGGGATTTCAATGATCAGGATAAGTTTCCACTTTCACTTAGGGATCGCTGTTATCTGTAACAGCAACTTTATTGGAGGGCCCGGAACTATTTACTACAAATTGTCAAGATTGGATTGATAAAGAGTTAAATGCTTAACGGGATGGACTAGGCGTTTTAGTTAATGTACAAGGCAGCTGTTC